CTGTGAGGGAAGGGGGAGGGGAGGCTGGGATCGGGGGAAGATGTGAGGGGGGCTGTGAGGGGAAGGGCGTGGGGAGGCTGGAGGGACAATGGGAGAACAAGGGGACGCTGGCTGGGGACAGGGGAGATGGAGGGGAGGGATAAGGGGAAGGGGTTGTGAGAGATACGAGAGCAGCTCCCTCACCCCATGGACTGGGAGGGGAGTGGGCTGGAGGCGCTGCCCCCCCCAGCAGCCATCAGGGATTCCTCCCTACCCCCAAAATGGTAACATAAGCCTTGCAAGTTGGGCGGGGGGGGGAGGGGATTTCCCTGCAGGGCTGCGAATTTACCCAGCAACTATCCACCCTCCGCCTCTCCTCCCGCACTCGGCTCTCGATTTAATATTTTGTTTCCAGACAGTTTCGTTATTTGGGGCTCTGACTCCTGGGCTGACCGGCCTGACTGGGTGCTGGTCTGATTTCTGTGCAGGATTCGGTGTCACTCCAGAGTCACTGCCAGCCCTGGCCGGCAAGGAGTGGAATTGGGGGTTGGTTTGATTCTGGTTCAAGACACCCCAAAATGGTTCAGATACCAGGCAGTGCTGGGGGGCGGGTAGGAGCGGATTCCTTCAGTGGGGAACTGAATTTGGGGCCTGTGTCCAGTGGGGCACTTGGAAGGAGGAGCTGCCCCAGGGGCTGGGGCTGGGTGGTGGGAGGCCCATCTAAGGGGGAGAAAAGTTGGGGAACCAGTACCTTTTTCCTTGGGATTGAAGAGTTAGCATTAACTTCTGGGACCGGGAGCCCCCCACTTCTTCCCTCCTACCTTCCTCTCTGCTCCTAGGGGCTGTCTCCTCTTCTCCTCCTACTGGGGCAGGCCCTGCCGGAGCAATCGCCTGCCTGGGTCTTATTGATCATGAAGGAAAGAGCAGAGAAGGGTTCATTTTATTTGATCAGATACTGAGCTTAAAAACGGCTGAAACTTTATGTATCAGAGGGGTAGCCATGTTAGTCTGGATCTGTAAAAAGGACAGAGAGTCTTGTGACACCTTATAGACTAACAGAAGTTAGTCTATAAGGTGCCACAAGACTCTTTGTCGCTTGAAACTTTATGGTAACTGGTGACCAGTTTCCCCCCCCAGTTCAGTTCAGATTCAGGGTTGCTGAGTAAGAGAAAAATTATGGATCAAGTCTGGCTCCAACTCCGTTAAAAAGACCAGTTCAAACTGGTTCTGGTTCGGTTCTGGTGTGAGTCCAGGCGGGCAAATGAAATCTGCGGCTTCTGAACTGACCCTGAGGGGAAAACTGGTCACCAGTTACCATAAAGTTTCAAGCGAAACTGTTTCTCTCTGCCCCTAGAGTTAGTTGTTTTTTCTGGGTCAGACGCTGCTGCCTCCGACGTCGTGATCTGGGAGCCCAGCCGGAGCAGCTGCTGCTCCCCCAGCCGGGTCTGTGCTGGGGGGAGACCTTCATTAACGCCCCCTCTGTGCCCAGCCCAGGTGGGGACTTTCCCCCATGGCTGGAACTAGCCCCGGGCTCTGCCCGCACCAGCCCTGAGCCGGAGCCTCCAGGCGATGCGGAGAGAACTGCGGGAAAGTGCTGGGGACGGGCAGGAAAGTGACTTTTCAGGGACCAGCGGGTGAGTTTGTACCAGAGGGGAAGGGGCTCCCCGTGTGTCTGCGGGTCCCAGAGGGACACAGCCAGGCCCTCCCTGGAGAGCAAACACCCCGGGAACGGGACAGTCACCAGTTCTCCCAGGCGGAGTGGAGAGGGAAGGAGACGAGAAGGGGAAGGGTGACAGCGAAACGGGCAGCAGGAGAGAGAGGTTCCCAGCTCCCAAACCTGCCCAAATCCAGTCACTGCGTCACCCGGGGCAGATTGAGTGTCCTGGGAACAAGGTGAGGAGCAGAGCGAGGAAAGGCCAGTTCCTGCCCCTGTCAGGTCACGGCCCTGCTGGGCGGATGTGCTGTCTGGGGGACAATAAACAGAAAAACGGCCACGGTCTGTCTAGCCCAGTATCCTGTCTTCCGACAGCAGCCAGTGCCAGGTGCCCCAGAGGGAATGAACAGAGCAAGCAATGATCTTGTCATTCTCTCTTCGCTTCTAGCAGTCAGAGGCTAGGGACACCCAGATCACGGGGTTGCATCCCTGAGCAGCTTGGCTAGTAGCCCTTGACGGACCTGTCCACCATGAATTTATCTAGTTCTTCTTTGAACCCTGTTATAGTCTTGGCCTTCACAACTTCCCCTGGCAAGGAGTTCCACAGGTTGAATGTGCGTTGTGTGAAGAAATATTTCCTTGTGTTTGTTTTAAACCTGCTGCCTATTAATTTCATTGGGTGACCCCTAGTTCTTGTGTTATGAGAAGGAGTAAATAACACTTCCGGGGAACAATGTCAGGGGGAATCCACCCAACTAGCTCCTTTGATTCTGCTTTTTTTCTAGGATTTGTCTCAGAGCCTCTGTCCCTGGCAGGGTTTAAAATTGCCTCGGTGGGTCCAGCCCTGGTGGGAGGGGCCGGGTCATTGTTGTAATGAAGGGCCAGAGGCTACAGGAGAAGCGTTTCGGGGGCTGCTGTCAGCATAAAATCTCCACCCCTGCAAGAGGCAGTAGCTGTGTGGGTGGGAGAAGCTCTCCCGAGTGACGTCAATTATACCCAAGGAAGCCTGAGCGTAGGCCAAGCCAAAACGACGGAGGGTTTTCCCAGGGTGGCAGAGTCTAGAGCGTCTTTCTGCAGGGAAAGACCCTGGGGGGGAATCGGGGTGTGACATGGACCAACGCACCTTCTGAAAGCTCCCCACTTGTCCCTCTCACCCTGACAGGCTGAAGAATCACGTCCACATTTCGCTCCAGATCGTCCCATCTTCCAGGAGACAGGGAAGAGACATGGCTGTGGTGTAGCTCAGGTAGGAGATTTTCAGGGAGCTGTATGTGTGTGTTTGGTTTGTAGAGGGGAGGGGCAGGAAATACACAGGGTGAGGCAGGGGGAGACGGGATGTAATAAATCGGCTGGGACATGTTCACCTTGGGCCTCGTTTTCTGAACAGGCCCATTGGGAGGGGGTGACCGTCCCCCCATTTCTGAAAGCGGAAATGCCCCATGGACAGGGCTGGGAAAACTGACCAGGTTCTTGGTGCTGGAGCCTGGACCCACTAGCCCAGGGGTCGGCAACCTTTCAGAAGCGCTGGGCCGAGTCTTCATTTATTCACTCTATTTAAGGTTTCGCATGCCAGTCATACATTTTAATGTTTTCAGAAGGTCTCTTTCTATAAGTCTATAATATAGAACTAAACTATTGTTGTATGTAAAGTAAATAAGGTTTTTAAAATGTTTAAGAAGCTTCATTTAAAATTAAAGTAAAACGCAGAGCCCCCCGGACCGGTGGCCAGGACCCGGGCAGTGTGAGTGCCACTGAAAATCAGCTCAGCTGTGGCGTTCGACCCGCGTGCCATAGGTTGCCTACCCCTGCACTAGCCAGAGGCTACCGTGGAATATGAAGGTGGTGGGATTTCTGTCCCGGTCCCCTGCTTGGAGCCTGTAGCTAGCAGGTGTGTGGTAAATGAGAAGACCCCGCTCTCCTCTGTCTGCTGGGAGGGACCAGGGGCTCTCACCTGCTGGCTCCTCTGAGCAGGGTGGGGGTTGGATTCTGCTTCTCCGTCCCTCCTCCTTCGTGACTAGTGGGATTGTGGCCAGGGCAGCAGGCTCTGAGTGGAGGAACTGATGTTGTTTCAGATACCGGTGACCTTCGAGGAGGTGGCTGTTGTATTTCACTGCGGGGCAGGGGGCTCTGCTGGACCCCGCTCCGAGAGCCCTTTACAGGGACGTCATGCAGGAGAACGATGAGAATGTGACCTCGCTGGGTAAGGGTTCCCATCCCCTCGGTTATTAAATGCCGTTGGGTCTGCATTTCTGAATCTGGTCAGGTTCTTCCCTGCTCGGTTAGATTGTAGGGGGAGGGTCGCATTGTCCACAGCTCCGGTGCGCGTGATACTTTCATCTCCATACTCCCTCCAAGAGAACAGGGGAGTCAGAAATCTAATGGACATGCTAATTCATCCCCATCTCTCCAGCTTTCAAGGGTCCAGAAGCAGGGTATTGTCCTGCCTGTGTAATTTCTCCTTCACCTTCCTTCTTGGGACTAGCTTCATCCGTGGCGAGGGCTCTAGGTTCTGCAGGGTAGGAAATAGGCAGGAATTTAACACCCGAGCCGTGTGTATGTGTGTGTGTGTCCGTAAGTCCCCCAGAACACAAAGACCTTGAGAACTCCTAGTGAGGTCATGACAACACCCCCGCAGACCCCAAGGGGTCTGAGCTATTACAATCCCATGTAAGGTCAGGCTAAACTCAGGGAATGTCCCTTGTGACAAATACTCTATCAAGACTTCATGCAACTTGACTGTGCCTGATTTTACCCCCTGTGCAGGACTTCCCATTCCCAAACCTGACCTGATCGCCCGGCTGGAAGGAGGGGAAGAGCCGTGGGTCCCAGATCTCCAGGCCTCCAAGGAAAGGGGGCTCTTGAGAGGCACCCACACAAGTGTGGGGTCAGGGAACCTCACACAGAAAGCACCTGGGACTCCCCAAAATGTGCCCTCAGTTCTGCCCCATCTCACCCAGGTCAGGGCTGCAGTCAGCAGGCGTCGTATCATCACGGCAAATATCAGTCCCGGCTTCCCATCCACCCTGTTAGCTGTCAGGAATTTCCTCCCTGACTTTACAGTAACAACTCACTGAAGGTTGTAGTTCTGTTCCTGAAAAATGCAACTTTAAATGAAACGATGTTAAACGAATCCAGTTTTCCCATAAGATTTAATGTAAATGCGGGGGGTTAGGTTCCAAGGAAATTTTGGGGGGGCAGACAAAAGGCATATACAGTACTGTACTGTGGTTGGGAAGTTCCCCTGGCTTACCCCACACAGGCACAGCCCGCTGCAGGCAAGGACGCTAGGAAGCACCTTTTGCAGCAGCAGCAGCTTCGCCGGAGAAGAACAGGCTCCGACTTTGCCGGGAATGCTCCAGGCCCACCTCTTCCTGTCCCTGCTTCACTCCAGGCCCACCTCTTCCCACCCCCACTCCACCTCCTCTCCGGAGCAGCCGCATCCCCACTGCCCCCAAAGTCCTAAGCGCTGCCAATGTTTGGTGGTGGGCGAAGCACTGGGAGGGAGGGGGAGGAGGCGGAGAAGATGAACTTGTGCAATGCTCCCTTGTAAAGTCGCTGCTCTTCCACAGAATCTTACACGCAGTGGACAGAGCAGGCATCTGTCGGAGAAAAACAGGGTTCTCACTCTCTGGTTGAGTGCAGCAAAGTCAGATACTTTATTATCTCTAGCAATTGCATGCAGGGAGAGAGCTAAACAGATCTCTCTCTGCCAAACAGTTACAGCAAGCATTTATACCTTTTGTTACAAACAATAATGTGCAACAGCTGCATTTTGTTTATACATAGGTCATCCTGATATCTTATTTTTCTCACCAATTTAAACTGTAGTCTACATTCCATACTTATCTGACTCAAGGTTGCAACACCTTCTCACACAGTTCTTTCCCACTCGCCTCACACAATCCTCGCTTCTACAAATCTCACGTTATTAGGGTTACAGCTTAGCCTGACAATTGCTCACAGAGGGGACTGTTTGCATTGAAATCCCCTTCAAATCCCTGTCCGTTCTTTCTCTCCTTCCACACAGCCAAACGCTGTTATGAGGGAGCATTGCACAACTTTAAACGAACATGTTCCCTAATTGAGCAGCGACGTAACTTTGAAACAATGTTACGCGGGAGGACGTTAAGTGAGGAGTTACTGTACTTCCCTGGCAGTGTTCGGATGGGATGTGGAGGCAGAATCCATTGTCTCAGGCTTGTATCTACACTATCACTTATGTCAGTGTCACTTTTGTCACTCAGGGGGGTGAATAAACCAATCCTCGAGCGACGTAAGTTACACAAGCTAAGTATGAGTCGTCAGTGTGATGCTGTTGCCAAAAAAAAGCAAACATGATTCTGGGAGGCATTAACAGGTGTGTTGTGAGCAAGACACGAGAAGTCATTCTTCCGCTCTAATCTGCGCTGGTTAGGCCTCAGCTGGAGTATTGTGTCCAGTTCTGGACACCGCATTTCAAGAAAGATGTGGAGAAATTGGAGAGGGTCCAGAGAAGAGCAACAAGAATGATTAAAGGTCTTGAACAAGACCTATGAAGGAAGGCTGAAAGAATTGGGTTTGTTTAGTTTGCAAAAGAGAAGACTGAGAGGGGACATGATAGCAGTTTTCAGGTATCTAAAAGGGTGTCATAAGGAGGAGGGAGAAAACTTGTTCACCTTAGCCTCTAAGGATAGAACAAGAAGCAATGGGCTTAAACTGCAGCAAAGGAGGTCTAGGTTGGACATTAGGAAAAAGTTCCTAACTGTCAGGGTGGTTAAACACTGGAATAAATTGCCTAGGGAGGTTGTGGAATCTCCATCTCTGGAGATATTTAAGAGTAGGTTAGATAAATGTCTATCAGGGATAGTCTAGACAGTATTTGGTCCTGCCATGCGGGCAGGGGACTGGACTCGATGACCTCTCGAGGTCCCTTCCAGTCCTAGCATCTATGAATCACCCACATAATTGCCAGTGTTGACAGCAGTATGTCAGCGGGAGAGTTTCTCCCATCGACTCCCGCCGCTCTCTGGGGCTGGAGTAAGGCCTCGTCTACACTACGGAGTTTTGTCGACGCAAGTTATGCCGACGTATAGCCACCGCTGTAATTAAACCACTGTGGCAGGTCCACACTATGCTCCTTGTGTTAGCAGAGCGCAGCCACGCCAGCAGCTCTTGCATCGACTCAGAGAGCAGAGCAGTGTGAGTAGATATCCCACTGCACAACTGGCCGCAGGGGGCTTTGGGAAGGGTTTGCAGTGCCTCATGGGGCAGGTAGAGCGTCACGTGAGGCAGGTTTCACCCTACTACACGGGAACCTCAGCGTTATGGAGACCTCGGGAACAGGGGTTGTTCCTAACTCTGAAATGTTCGTAGCCCTGAACAAGATGTTATGGGATGCTCCTCAGGGCAGATGGCTCGGAGCAGGGGCTCACAGCTGTGCCTGTGAACCTCAGCGTCTTCACCTCCTACCTGTAAGTGGCTGCCCCATGCGTGGCGAGTAGGGGGTGGGGGTGGGGACAGGCAGCCCAGATGTGCCTACCTTTTAAGCTGCAACACAGGCACAGTACAGGATTTGCTGGGGTTTGGTTTTTTGTTTTGTCCCCACTGCTGCCTGATTGTGTACTTCTGGTTCCACGTGGTGTCCGGTTGACTGGTCAGTCTGTAACTCCGGTGTCCGTAGCTACTGTCGATTGCCAGCTGCTTTTCACCTGAAGCGTCGGTGTGGGGAGGTGGGAGGAGGGGAAGAGTGTGTGTGTGTGTGTGTGTGAGAAGAGACAGAGACACAGTGTGTGTAGGGGAAGTGTGTGTGTTCCTCCCCTCCCACCGCAGCAGCCTGCCCTGCCTGTGTTTCTAGTGCCGGGAAGAGCAAGATTTTGCGTTAATGATGCCGTGATTCCCTCCGAGTTCTCCCACAGCCTCCTCTGCCCGCAAACCCAGGAGATCCGCCCCTCCCCTGTAGTCCAGGCAGGAGTGTGTTTGCTGCCATCCGGCTCAGCTGGGCAGTAGCTATGTAAGCTCTGCACGCTGAGGAATTTCAACGCTGCCGGGAGCTTTGAAAGGGGAGGGACGCATGCCTGAGTAGCTGGATGCAGGGCAGCGGAGTTCAAAACAGTGAGCCGAGTGGTCACGGTGGGCATTGGGGGATACTTCCTGAAGGCCAGTTACGGTGACGTAACGAACGCAGTGTCTACACGGACGCTTTGTCTCTCTAACTTTGCCGCAAAAAGCTCTATGCCTCTCGTCGAGGTGGGAGGGGTTTTTTTCGTTGCCAAAACAGGAGAGTTTTGCCAACAAACCTTCATTTGTTTTGTCAACAAAAGCTGCCCTTTGCCGACAAAACTGCGTAGTGTAGACAAGCCCTATCTACGGAGAGGACAGACAATGACTCCTGTCTGGATTGTCTCTTTCTCTCCCAGCAGGTGATGAGCGTGGGAGTGAGAACAAGGAGGAGAATCAACAGCAGGAAGCTCCTGGGAAAGTGGAACCACTGGGGACGTTTCTGAGAAGAGCTGAAGGGAGTTTTTCCCAGTGCTTGAAACAGGGAAAAGCCTGGGGAAATCAGGGCAAGGCAGGGAGGCAGCTGGAACACCATCCGAGGAAGAAACCGGATGAATCCATTCTATGCATGGATCCCAAGGAAACCACAGCTCCGCAGATAAATCACAAGGAAGAAAAACCCTACAAATGTCTTGACTGTGGGAAAAGATTCAGTGTGAGAACAAGCCTGACTATGCATTGGAAAATCCATACAGGAGATAAACCCTATAAATGTTTGGACTGCGGGAAAAGTTTCTATCAGAGTTCACACCTTATTACACATCAAAGACTGCACCTGGGAGAAAGACCCTATAGATGCCTTGAGTGTGGGAAAAGTTTTAATGAAAGTTCATCTCTTAGTAAACATGGGAGAATCCACACAGGAGAAAGACCCTATAAATGCCTTGAGTGTGGGAAAAGATTCAATTTCAAATCAGCCCTTAATGTGCACCAAAGAACCCACACGGGAGAGAAACCCTATACATGCTTGGAATGTGGGAAAAGCTTTCGTAAGAGGTCGTCCCTTATGACACACCAGAGACTGCACACAGGAGAGAGACCCTATAAATGCCTGGAGTGTGGGAAAGATTTTAGTGAGCGATCAGCCCTTATTACACACAAGAGAACCCACACAGGAGAGAAACCCTATAAATGCTTGGACTGTGGGAAAAGCTTCAGTCAGAGGTCACATCTTATTAACCATGGGAGAATCCACACGGGAGAGAAACCTTATACATGCTTGGAATGCGAGAAAAGCTTTCGTCAGAAATCATCCCTTATTACACACCAGAGACTGCACACAGGAGAGAGACCCTATAAATGCCTTGAGTGTGGGAAAGGATTCAATGAGCGATCAGCCCTTCTTACACACGAGAGAACCCACATGGGAGAGAAACCCTGTAAGTGCCTTGACTGTGGGAAAAGCTTCATTCAGCCATCCAGCCTTATGACGCATCAGAGAATGCACACAGGTGACAAACCCCATAAATGCTTGGAGTGTGGGAAAAGCTTCAGTCACAACTCATACCTTGCTAGACATCGGAGAATCCATACGGGAGAAAGACCATATAAATGCTTGGATTGTGGGAAAAACTTCAGCCACAAATCAAACCTTACTAGACATCAGACAATCCACCTGGGAGGAAAGACCATATAAATGCCTAGACGGTGGGAAAAGTTTAATTTAGACATCAACATTTGTTACACACCAGAGAATACTCACTGGACCGAGACCCCAGAAGTGCTTGGACTGTGGGAAAAGTTTCATTCAGATCTCACACCTTACTAGAGAATTCAGGGCCGTCCTTAGGCATACACAGCATACGCGGCTGCGTAGGGCACACGAAAATTTGAGGCACCCCTGGGTCTTAGTGTCCCCCCTCCCGTCTCTTCCTATCCCAGTTCTGACCCTTCCGCAGGCTCCTACCATAGCTGGTGAGTCTTCCTCCGGAGGGGATCTAGTAACTTAAAAGTGAAAAAGCCTTCAGCCTGCCAGACCAATTAGCACAACATTGAAGCTGTTAAAGAGCCATTCGAGTGGTAACGAAGCCATTTCACAGGCACTTGCCAACCCCCAGGGATATACTGTCAGTTTCTGAATTTACTGACAAAACCAGCTGTGCATTACTGTCATATTTACTCAGAACATGTTAGTCTACAGGACCTTAGTTTAAAATTTGCTTTAAAAATATTTCATTAGTGAGTTGGTGAAGATTATAAAATCACATCTCTAAAAAAATCCTTGCATAGATTTTTAGATGCATGATCTGAGTATTCATCTTTAGCCTTAAACGCCTGGATCTTCAGACATAGTTTTTTAAATAAATCCTTCAGAAGACACACACACACCCCTTATCTAAAATACGTATGCGAGTCCAGGCTGCTGTCGGGCAGAGGGGCCCCAGTTTAATAATACACCTCTACCCTGATATAACGCGACCCGATATAACACGAATTCAGATATAACGCAGTAAATCAGTGCTCCGGGGGGGGCGGGGCTGTGCACTCTGGCGGATCAAAGCAAGTTCGATATAACACGGTTTCACCTATAACGCGGTAAGATTTGTTTTGGCTCCCGAGGACAGCGTTATATCGGGGTAGAGGTGTACTGCATTGGGCCCCATAAATCCCAAGGACGGCCCTGAGAGAATTCGTACTGGAGATAAACCTGATAAATGCCTCCACTGTAGGACAAGTTTCCTTGAGAGAACAAACCTTATTAGACCTCAGAGGATCCGCAAAGGCTATAAACTTCATAAATGCCTCAAGTGTGGGAAAAGCGTCAGTAAGAGCTCAGAGCTTACCAAACACTAGAGAATCCCCAAGGGTGAGAGACCCTAGAAACAGCTTCACTAGATTCAATCGGAGTTCACAGATCAGTGATCCACACCACAGAGAGACCTTGACTGGGCAAAGCTTCACTAGGCTGCTCCCGTAGTACCAGGCATCAGCAAATCCACACGGGGAAGAAACCTCTGAGATGTCCTCAGGGTGGCAAATGCTCCAAGTGAAGCTAACGCTATATTGGGGGATCAAATACTGAGGGACCAGGAGGATGGGTTTTGGGGAGGAAACCGGGGATTGAAGAGTTGGGGCTGCCGGGTGCTGGGGCTATCGAGCGGTTGGGGACTGTGGGATAAGAAGAGAGGGAGAGCACGGGGTATAGAGAAGTGACGCTTCTTAACATTCATTCCCTCGGTACCTTTGTGACTGGGGTCCCGCTGAGCCCTCTGGCATACCAGTCTGGGCTCCCTTACTCACTGAGAAAGATAGATTTTAAGTAATTATAAGAAGTGAGCGTATTGATCAAAGGAGATTACCCTAAGAAATAAAACAAAACACAATCTAAGCCTTATAAACTAGATAGTATTTGAATCAAGCAGTGTCTCGCCCTGTTAGCTAATACAAGCAGGTTACAGCTTTTACGTACACAGGCAGGAATTCTTCTGTCCCGCCTGGGACACCCCCCCCCCCATTCCCCCGTTCACTCTCTGTTCCTGAGGTGTTTTCCAGTGTTGAGTTGTAGGGGGAGAGAGGCTCAGTGGTGATGTCACTTCCCCTTTTATAGCTTCTTGCAGGTGGCGGGAACTTCTTTGTTCAAGCCAAGCCCCGAGCAGGAGTTTGTGGAAAAGTACAAGCAACAAGATGGAGTCCAGTATTACATGATCTAGTCACATGCCCTTGCAAGCTTCAATGAGTTCTAGCAGCCATTGCTCATACCCTGACTGAAGTGTCCACAGGAAAGATCATCAGGTGAGGATAAGCTTTTCCCATAGCCCGTTGTTTTTGCTGCTGGGCCATTCAACTTGAATAGGCCTTTCACAATGTGCTGGCTAGACTGGAGGTAAAGTATTTTGTGTTACCCAGGAGCAAACACATTTGAAATACAGATCATAGAATATCAGGGTTGGAATGGATCTCAGGAGGTCATCTAGTCCAACCCCCTGCTCAAAGCAGGACCAACACCAACTAAATCATCCCAGCCAGGGCTTTGTCAAGCCTGACCTTAAAAACCTCTAAGGAAGAAGATTCCACCACCTCCCTAGGGAACCCATTCCAGTGAAATAGTGTTTCCTAATATCCAACCTAGATCTCCCCCACTGCATCTTGAGACCATTGCTCCTTGTGCTGTCATCTGGTACCACTGAGAACAGCCGAGCTCCATCCTCTTTGGAACCCCCCCTCAGGTAGTTGAAAGCAGCTATCAAATCCCCCCTCACTCTTCTCTTCTGCAGACTAAACAATCCCAGTTCCCTCAGCCTCTCCTCATAAATCATGTGCTCCAGCCCCCTAATCATTTTTGTTGCCCTCCGCTGGACTCTTTCCAATTTTTCCACATCCTTCTTGTAGTGGGGGGCCCAAAACTGGACACAGTACTCCAGATGAGGCCAATGTCGAATAGAGGGGAATGATCATGTCCCTCGATCTGCTGGCAATGCCCCTACTTATACAGCCCAAAATGCTGTTGGCTTTCTTGGCAACAAGGGCACACTGTCGACTCATATCCAGCTTCTTGTCCACTGTAATACCTTGGTCCTTTTCTGCAGAACTGCTGCCTAGCCACTCGGTCCCTAGTCTGTAGCAGTGCATGGGATTCTTCCGTCCTAAGTGCAGGACTCTGCACTTGTCCTTGTTGACAGGGCCGGCTCTGGCTTTTTCACCGCCCCAGGCGAAAAAGCCTCCGGCCGCCCCCCCCCCCCCC